CCTATCGTGACGAAAATCTAACAATTGAAATAAATCCAAAATCCCAGAAAATTCTATAATTTGAAAATATATAAACCTTCAGCATACAGAATTCATTTCACACTTAATCAGTTATTAGATTATCAAACCCTACTTCTAAGCCACTTATGCTATACTAATCAAATCGACTCTTAAAAGTCTCTTAACATCAGTCAAAAATGAACAGTGGTCAAATTACGTTATTAAATGATACTCCAGGTCACATCTCCCATTAATATTAGGTGGAATATTTCTTATATATAAGGGTGTCAAACTGATCTTCAGATCAGCAAATATATATATTAACCAACAAGTAGTAATAACCGAACATCTTCACCTTTCTCCTTGGTTACATATGGAACTAAACTGACCAATCTTTGTTAACCAATGAAAATCCTGCGTGAATGTTTCCATATTTATTGTTTTGAGATTTCGACTATATATTATATAGTGGCTAGTGTTCAACCCAGAATTCCATGACGTTTTTTGCGATGGATGTTAAGTTCATCTGTTGTACTCCTGCAGATTAGTTAAAGCACTGAGGCATGGCGTCAGTATCACAGAGGTATAACGCTCACCAATCATGCCTGGTCCGGGATTAGATACCCGGCCACCAAAGCACTCCTTTACTTCGCTAAACTAGTAATAAGACTGGTTAAAAGAGGAGGTTGAGCATGAGGCTATCAACCCCACCCCGTAAAACATAAGTATCATTGCTACCGAGACCTCAAGCCTCTAGCTGGAAGTCCTATGTTCCAGTGGGAACGTAAAGGAATAAAAATAAAGACGAAATCAAAGTGATCCTGAACAACTAATCAGAATGCAGATAGACTAAAAGTCGGAGAATAGTTAAAAAATGTATTAAAAGGCACTGCAGACATGGCATTACAGTGGATAATTATCTCTTATACGCTGTAAGAATATCACTCAGTTACTCCAAAAACGATATATAGAGAAAGCATACCTTTTGCGACAGATGCATTCATGCAGCACATAACAGCAGATCATGGTACTGCAGGATCCATTGGCACTCCTTCTTTAACCTACCCTTGACCTTACCAGAAAAAAGTACATAGTGAATGAGTAGATTACTGTGACCTACCCTCAGGAATGAATTTTCTGTTATAGCATGAACTGAATCTATAAGAGCATTTATCTCTCACAAGATTGTATTGCTATATTGTCATACTCTCCCCGAATTCGGAGTGATGGGTCGTAGCCTTCCCTAACTTTTGAAGGCGAACTTTCAACACACCTTGACATTGACTATAATACTTTACCAATCAATTACTGCCAAATATATAATCATCCAGCAGCTGTACGACAAAGCTGCATGCCAAGTAATCCACAATGGGAAACTTACGAAATCCTTCGAAGTGAGGACAGGAGTAAGACAAGGCTGCCTACTATCGCCAATGATTTTCTTGATTGCAGTAGATTGGATAATGCGACAAACAGCGGGCAATGAGGAAACAGGCACAAAATGGACTCACACAAAAAACCTGAAGGATATGGACTTCGCCGATGATTTATGTCTGATTTCTGACAAACTGGAAGATATGCAAGCGAAAAGCAACAAGTTGGCAGAAGAAGCATCAAAGATAGGATTTCAGGTGAACATAGAGAAAACAGAGGTGATGAAGATTCTTGGACAACATCACCAACAGCAACAACAACAACAGACAACAATCAGTCAGCATAAATGGGAGGAATCTGAAAGAAACAACCTCCTTCACCTACCTAAGAAGCATCGTTTCAACTACAGGCGAAACTGACGAGGATATCAAAGAAAGAATCGGAAAAGCAAGACAAGCTTTCATTACTCTCAAGTCTGTGTGGAGGTCAACAGCACTCAGCATCAAAAATAACATCCGGATTTTCAACTCCAGTGTGAAGTCAGTGCTACTATACGGATCAGAGACTTGACGTGTCATAAAGAGCATCTCAAACAAACTACAGACCTTCATTAACAATTGTCTTCGCTCAATACTCAAGATCAGATGGCCGGCCAGAAAAGATCAGCAACAGCGAGGGATCTCTGGCAATTAGCGAACCAACCAGGAACCGATTGTGAAACAAATATGCAGAAGGAAATGGAGATGGACTGGCCATACTCTGAGGAAACAAACCATCAAGTGACATCACTAGACAAGCCATTGCTCGAGTGGAACCCGAAAGGGAAGTGGCGAGTTGGTCGTCAGTGGAAGGGTGACTTGGAGGAGGTCATGTGAAGAGGAGATGAAAACGTGTGGGCAGACTTGGAGGCAGGTGAAGACTCTAGCAGAGCACCGAACGCAATGGAGACGCGCGGCTGAAGCCCTATGTTTCTCTAGGAATTAAAGGAAACAATAATAATAATATAACCGCGTATACTACTACACTATAAATCAAGAAGACTGATACTTTTCTCCCTTCTAAATCTACAGCATAAAAATGCATTGTCTTTTTTTACAGAATTCAATTTTGACAATGAGATAGACACTTGATATTATTATCATCATCACATTTATAAAGGTTGACAGCTTTTTGACAGTTCATAGTAGTTGGTGTATATTATACAATATGAAGAGTTTCATTAGGCCAGCGTTACAATAATCATTTAAATAAAAAGAAAAGGCATCATTTATTTTCTCCACAACTTTTCTTTTCTTTTTCACAAATGTTATACAATGGAAATACATGTTGATTATCATAAAAAGGTACTATGTGTATCCAAACTTATTTATAGTTAGTTAACCTTATTGTTAATAGTGATTAACTTAGATTTATTTATTGATTCTTTGTTTGAAAAGCAAGAGAGAGGTATGTGAATCGATTTAAACACAATGCAAAGCGTAGTAGAGTAGAGTATAGTGAAAAGAAAGAATGACTGAATGAATGAAGAGTTAGTTAATTTAAAGTCATGACAAATTGTCATGTTAAGACAATTTAGTTACTAAAAAAAAGAGAGAAGAGAAATAAAGAAAGGAGAAAGGATTTATCAAAATATAACTTATTCTAGAAGAATTCAGTATTTTTAAGTATGCTAACAATAGAAAATAGTATTTACCTATTATTTATTATATTCGATATCAACTCATAATAATAATAATATTAAGAAGAAGAAAAGTAAGATGAGTTCAAATTTTGTGCCTGATTACTACTCATAACAAGTAAAAATAAATACTTATCTGAATACATCAATATACATGTATACATCATCAACGGCTATCTCCGCTCAATACTCAAAATCAGATGGCCGGCCAGAAAAGATCAGAAACAGAGATCTCTGGCAATGAGCGAACCAACCAGGAACCGATTGTGAAACAAATATGCAGAAGGAAATGGAGATGGACTGGCCATACTCTGAGGAAACAAACCATCAAGTGACATCACTAGACAAGCCATTGCTCGAGTGGAACCCGAAAGGGAAATGGCGAGTTTGTCGTCAGTGCGAAGGTGGGGTGACTTGGAGGAGGTCATGTGAAGAGGAGATGAAAACGTGTGGGCAGACTTGGAGGCAGGTGAAGACTCTAGCAGAGCACCGAACGCAATGGAGACGCGCGGCTGAAGCCCTATGTTTCTCAAGGAATTAAAGGAAATAATAGTAATAACACGTATATACATGCATTTATATATGGGGGGGGGGGATTTCTGAATCAGTCTCCAAATGATAACAGTATTTTAACTTGTTACAAAATAAACAAACAATGACTAATAGTTGGTTAGGAAATGTGTTACGTATGCCTAGCCATCGCCTTCCTTGACGGGCAATGTTAGCTGACACAGGGTCAGGTTAGAAAAGAGCCAGCGGTGGTCAAACGAAAACATGGCTTCATCAATCAATAAAATCCACAACAGTTAGTTTAAGCCAGTCACGTAGACAAAAATACGTTTTGATCATTTTTTATTGACTTGGATTTTAAACTTTCTCATCACTTGATTTACTTTATATGAGTTGGTATATTTGGTCTATATTAACGTGTTTGTTAATCGCATTTTCGTTTGAGTACCAGGCTTCTAGGAATTCCCTGGCACTTTTGGTGTTTCCTCTGTCTAAAATTTCGACATTATTCCAATCAAACTGATGTCCATAATTATTTATATGCATTGATATGAAAGAATATATATCATGTCTTTTAACAGCTGATTTGTGTTCCTGGATTCTGATTCGAAGGGGACGCCCACTTTAGCCAATGTAATGCTTGTTACAGTTCATACAATTTATTTTATAAATGGCATTAATTTTATGACCGCTTGCTGTTGGATCTTTCAGTTTGCACAATATCGAATTAAGTGACTGGACTGGCTTGTGTGCTATTTCTGTTTCAAGCGGTTTCAATGTTCAGAGGTATCTTTTATATATGGTTGGATGAAGTTTCTTGTAGTCTTCGATAATGGTTTCTTGTTGGTGTTGCGATTCGATTTTAAACACTTTTTGATGAAATTATGCGGATATCCATTCTTTTTGAAGACCGTTAGTAGATATTTTTCTTCCATTCTTTTCAACTCTGGAGTGCTACAGTGTGTTTGAACTCTTTTAAACAATGTCCGCACACAGTTTCTTTTGTGAGTAATTGAGTTATTGCTAGTATAGTTGAGTATTTGATCTGTGTGCGTTCATTTTCTATATACTTGTGTTTCTACAATTTCCTGTGTTAGTTCCCCTGATTAAATCAGTTCATTTTATGCTAATAATTGCGCTGAAGATGTTGTCCAGAAGAACGATGAAAGCTCCGCAACTAAGCTAAGCAACTCAGAGAACACTACTAGTAGCAAATCCCCCACCTGAAGGATAACATTATTTAAAAATATCAATGAAAACACTACGTTTTCAACTCTAAACGACAAACTTCTGAACTTTTCAAGTACATTATTTCTAAAGGTATCTGGACATAACCTAACTTAGTAATTATCCTAACTAAGAGGCCTGATATTTCGCTCTCTTGTAAGCTTTACACAGTTGGTCAATAAAATTCCTGTTATTTGCCTTCTTCTTCTAGGTGAAGGCAAGATGAATGGTACAGGTCTTCCAAGTAAACAGGATGCACAAGAAACAATCAGAAAAGTCAAATATGCCTTTAATATAAATGAGCAAGTTCGACAACTTACACCTGGTGATACTGCTAAAAAAATTTTCATCCGACTATTCAACACAGTTCATTGGTTGGATAAAGTTTGTAGTCAAAATCTTGTCGCCGATTATGATCAAAATATGGTGCGTGATGTTGTCGAACCTTTACTTGAGGAAAGTACACTTTCTACAATTATGACTAGACTGCAGCCTAAACAACAAGATTTTTGGAGAGAGTTGGGACCAGCCTGGAATACACCACCGTAAGTTAAAATTAATTTGATTATATTTATTATAATATTATCACCCCAAAACTATCCTTTCAACTGTGAGACATGCTATCTATACTTTCCTGGAATTACAATAATGTGTATTAAAGTACCCACCTGCCCATCTATCTGTTTTATTGCACCCCACAGCGCTTATGATTTTTAACTATCCTGAAACTTCTAATATTGCATGATCATTTAACCAATTACATGGACGAAGTTGCATGGAGTTCTAGAGAGACTCGTGACCAGTTGGGTCCACTCAGTCGGGGGTGAGGATAAACACTCTTGAATGACACTAGCTGGCAGCTCTGCTATATGTTGCCAACTGGCAGAAGTTTGAATTCATGGGCCAATGAATCCAATCCCAATGGCTAAATGCTCTGCGACCTTGTCTTATAACCTGAAGGTCCTTAGTTCGAAACCCGATGGGTGCGTGCCGATGAAGAGTCCCAAACTAAGGCGAAACAGCTGTTCCGTACTCCCTAGTTTTCTAACCGATATCAACCAGTGATCAAACCTGTTTCATTTAGCACTGGAATCATTACGAAGCTACATCTCTGATCCGTTTTTGTTATTAATATTCAAGTACATACAGGTAGAAACAGTGGTATATATATATTTTTTTTTTTAAGGTATGGTTGACATCTCAATGACAGCTTCTGTTAAAAATTAGTTATTCTAAAACCTTAACATAACATTCTAAATTGAAAGTTATTCAAATGAAAGAATTTAAAGATTATTTTATGGATAACATTCCAGTGAAAACTAGAATTTAATTTAAAGAAATAAAATTAAACATTTTCAGGAATTCTATAATGGATACTGACAAACGATAAAAAAACAAAACAATGAACTCACTCACAGTGATGATATGCACATCACGATGAGATTATAAGCAGGTAATAAGTTTCACTCGAAACATCATCAGTAAATAATGCTGTATCACTGCGTGTTTTATCAAATAAAACTATTCTATGATAGAATTTTACTCTACCACAGTGCCCAACAGCTATATGACGATGTTTTTCGTCAAATGATTCACAAAGGAAAACTCAGTAAAGCCTGCTTTTGAAGTGAAGACAGGAGTCAGACAAGGCTGTCCCTACTACCCCCGATGATGTTCCTAACTGTGGTGGATTGGATCATGCGAAAGACTGTAGGGAACGAGAAGTCAGGAATACATTGGATCGACGAGAAGACTCTAGAAGACCTGAAAGTTGCGGACGATTTATGTTTGATGTCACATAAATTTGAAGACCTACAGGCGAAAAACAACAAGTAGGAAGAAGAAGCAGCCAGAATAGACACGACTTAAAGTGAATATAGAGAAGACGAAGGTGATAAAGATCACCAACCAACCAACCAACAACAATAACAACTGTCGATCATTATTAACAGAAGAAATTTGAAATAGGCCACTTCCTTCATTTATCTAGGAAGCTGAGGAGACAGTTGGGCGAAATCTTGCGCATTGCTGGTCGTCGAGTGGAACCTGAATGAAAATTGGCAAGTTTGGAATAAATCTGAGGATGGAAGAGATCTTGTCAGGAGGGGATGAGAACTTACGGGCGACCAGCTAAAGAGGACTGGGCAGAACGGGACAAAGTGGAGTTGGTTTGCTGATGCCCTATGTTCCACGTTGGAACACAAGGAAATAATATTAATACAATGCCCAAATCCTTTCAATGAAGACATTTAATACCACATAGTTAGCTTCTTATTTGATTCTTTTAAAAGTTCATTTCTTATGACCCGTCAAAGTTAATTTTCTGAGATAACATGTTCTGAACACGGTATCTTCCACAAATAGGCATTGGAAAAGTTATATCTTTTGATTCCAGCAAATGATCAGTTCTATAGAATTGTCATTAAAGCCCATGGAAAACGTCTTTTTCGCAAATGTACTGTTTCAAAAGATATAATGGTGAATTTAATTTAGAGGTTTATTTATCACACGTGATGTCTCAATCAATTGCACCCTCATTAATTTGTATGGCAAAATATTTTTATTATTGATGAGACTAATCTTTCTTAAACGCTGAATGTACAATTCTGTTTTTTATAAATAGTAGCCACTGCTGATGAAGACAGGCAATATAGGAGGCTTAACGTTAACTAATATCACCGAATAGTATTACAGAGCATATCCAATGAGAAGTCTTTAAAGCAGAAAGGAAATAAGCTGAATTTCCTAACTCAATTTTCAAAACAAGACTGTCATTGCTGAACTAGGTAGTAAATATGCTAAGAGTAGACAATCTAATACACAGAATATGCATTGTTTTACTCGTATTTAGCCCTATATTTGATGAAAGATTCTGACAGTTTAGCTTAAAACCTCCAACCAGGTTAAAATACGTGTTTTTTTCTTTTGTTTTGGAACATACCTATCATACTAATGATTTCTTTTTGTTTCGAAGTGTGATTTTTTCAAGTTTGGCCACTGATTGATGTCAGTTAGAGAACCAATAAAAATTAGGGAGTACTGGGCAGCGAGCAGTTTCGTCCTAGTACTTGGAACTCATCAGCAATAAGCACCCACATGGGTTAGAACCTAGGACTATCCTATTGCAAGTTAAGCTCGTAGATCATTCGGCCATTGCGATCTGATTCAATGGCCAGCCCATGAATTCCAACTTCTACCAATTCGTGATCTTAGGGAGACAACCAGCCTGGGTCATCGGTGAGCAGTTATTCTCAAGGCTGACCCGATGGCCCCCATTGGTTACGACTTCTCACCAGAACCTCAGACAACTTCATCCTGCAGCCAGTCACTAGCTAGCATTGAATTAATTTTCAAGAATTAAAAGACAGATTCAGCGAAGAAAATTTTCTTTATCGACGAAATCATCTTCAGAGGCTGTACAATCGTATTTATACTTACAAAAATATATAGTGGTCTATTATTGAGTAATAGGGGGTGACATAATTGATATAATTACTCAGAAGTGGCTTTAGAAGTGAAAATTAGAAGTTGAAAATTACGTGGTACTCAACGGTAAAAAGATAGAAATTTGATAAGGTTAAAATTGCTATTAAGTGAGAATAAAGGTATTTGAGTGTCAATTTAACAAGTGTGAAGAGGGTGTGAAAATATACAAAAGGAGCATATGCGAGTGATAATAGTGAAATAATTATTGAAGCAAAAGCTAACTAAAAGTGAAAGTAGAGTGAAAAGAAAAAATCAAAAAATATTTCATTTACAAGGAACGATTAGTGAAGAGGTTAAGACCAAGGTAGAATAAGAGACTGGACAAACTTTTTCTGTATACAGAGTTCAGGGTTGTATTGATGAATTGCTAGAGCCTCCGCCATACACAAAAGCCGAAACCTGACGCCCTTTGTACCATTTGGCTTCACTTTGTAGATGATCTTGAAAGAGGATTCTGGTGGAGCTACGTGGCCTGAGTTCACCAAATGCTCGAGAATTGAGCTAGTAATTGTCTTACATTGTCCCTTTGCTAACCATGCCGGATAATGCTCAGAGATGCGTTTGGAAAGCGTGCGCCTTGTGCGGCCAATATAACTAGCTCCACACGAGCAAGTGAATTTATAAACACACATTGAGGTGGCCCAAAGCGGCAGTTTATCCTTCACACACCCGTTGATCATTTGTCGGCTGTAGAAGTTGATACGTAGCTCAGCCATAAAGAAGGCTTTCCTCAGTGATCTGCATAAGCGATTCTTCAGGATCTCAGCTGTGGTATCACCTTTAAATTCGACACTCATAAACAGTAGTTTCTTTGGCACCGTCTGTATTCTTTCGGGTTTTTCCCTTGGCTTCATGTTTTTCTCGATGAATCTTGGAGGATATCCATTCTCTATGAGGACTTGTCTGAGTCTCTCCAGTTCCCCATCGATTGTATCACTTGAACATATCCTCCTTATTCTTGAGGATAAGGAATGGATCAGATTTCTCTTTCTTCTCAAAGGGACCCAGCTATGGAAATTTGTGTATTGACCATTCCATGTTGGTTTCCTGTAAATCGATATATATATATATTTTTGTAAGTATAAATACGATTGTACAGCCTCTGAAGATGATTTCGTCGATAAAGAAAATTTTCTTCGCTGAATCTGTCTTTTATTTTCTTCATGACTCAATGGGTACTTTCGGTGATTTCAAGAAATAGTTTGTAGGAATTCGATTTGTTTCAAGTTTGATCATGAATTGTTATCGGTTAGAGAAACAGTGGAAAACCAGGGGGTACTGGACAACTGTTTTGTCTTAGTTTGCGACTCGCTGGCAGTAATCATCCACTGGGGCTCGAACACAGGTCCTTCTAGTTACAAGACGAGCTCATAGATCATTCAGTCACTAGTTCTCTAGCTGACATAGATCCCTGGCCAAACCTGAAACAGCTCAAATCCCTACAAACTAATTCTTAACAGTGTTATAGTCCCTGATAAATCTTACTCCAACTACGTTAGTCACTCGGACCTGTATATTTTTTTCTATAGTTTTTATTCTGATCTATTTCTAAACTTCTGTCTGTTGTGTTTAATATTCAGTTGGCATTTTTCATGTACGGTTATTGGTAAACTGTTCTACAAGTTCTTTAATGAGAAAAATAGACGTTTCGTTTTAGTCAGATGCTCATTTGTAGTATTCGTCTTCAGCATTGTTTTATAACAAGAGTCAGATGCGTAGTGAGGCTAAGAGATTAAAGTAGCTTATTTGCTTGATATAACTACAAATAAGTTTTTCCCTAGGTGATGAGGTTGAAACTGGTGACCGCAATTTTACTGCGTTGTGTTAAAATAGAGCAAGACAATTTACACAGATTAATCTTTGCAATTGTGCGTGGGAGAAAATTATCTGTAAATCAGGTCATGACTTTATAAGTGAACAACGGCATAACGGATCCAAAAAATAAACAGATTTGCATTCACAGTGGAATTTCACTTCGGCATGCTCATCATGAGAAATAAAACTGGTAGACGTTGGAATTCATGGGCCATTGAGTCGGGTCCCAGTAGCTGAATAACCC